CCTGTCTCCCCGTGTCTCCCCGTGTCTCTCCCCCCACAGAGGAGCGTGGCGATGGCTACCAGACGGACCACCAGGACTTTTGCGAGGTTTGCCAACAGCGTGGCGAGATTATCCTGTGTGACACGTGTCTCTCTCTGTCTCCCCGTGTCTCCACGTGTCTCTCTCCCCCTGTCTCCCCGTGTCTCCCCGTGTCTCCCCGTGTCTCCCCGTGTCTCTCTCCTCCTGTCTCCCCGTGTCTCCCCGTGTCTCTCCCCCCACAGAGGAGCGTGGCGATGGCTACCAGACGGACCATCAAGACTTTTGTGAGGTTTGCCAACAGCGTGGCGAGATTATCCTGTGTGACACGTGTCCACGTGTCTCCCCGTGTCTCTCTCTGTCTCCCCGTGTCTCCACGTGTCTCTCTCCCCCTGTCTCCCCGTGTCTCCCACGTGTCTCCCCGTGTCTCCCACGTGTCTCCCCCTGTCTCCCCCTGTCTCTCCCCCACAGAGGAGCGTGGCGATGGCTACCAGACGGACCACCAGGACTTTTGCGAGGTTTGCCAACAGCGTGGCGAGATTATCCTGTGTGACACGTGTCTCTCTCTGTCTCCCCGTGTCTCCACGTGTCTCTCTCCCCCTGTCTCCCCGTGTCTCCCACGTGTCTCCCCGTGTCTCCCACGTGTCTCCCCCTGTCTCCCCCTGTCTCTCCCCCACAGAGGAGCGTGGCGATGGCTACCAGACGGACCACCAGGACTTTTGCGAGGTTTGCCAACAGCGTGGCGAGATTATCCTGTGTGACACGTGTCTCTCTCTGTCTCCACGTGTCTCTCTCCCCCTGTCTCCCCGTGTCTCCCCGTGTCTCCCCGTGTCTCCCCGTGTCTCTCTCCCCCTGTCTCCCCGTGTCTCCCCGTGTCTCTCCCCCCACAGAGGAGCGTGGCGATGGCTACCACACGGACCACCAAGACTTTTGCGAGGTTTGCCAACAGCGTGGCGAGATTATCCTGTGTGACACGTGTCTCTCTCTGTCTCCCCGTGTCTCCACGTGTCTCTCTCCCCCTGTCTCCCCGTGTCTCCCCGTGTCTCCCCGTGTCTCCCCGTGTCTCTCTCCCCGTGTCTCTCTCCCCCCACAGAGGAGCGTGGCGATGGCTACCACACGGACCACCAAGACTTTTGCGAGGTTTGCCAACAGCGTGGCGAGATTATCCTGTGTGACACGTGTCTCTCTCTGTCTCTCCGTGTCTCCACGTGTCTCTCTCCCCCTGTCTCCCCGTGTCTCCCACGTGTCTCCCCGTGTCTCCCCGTGTCTCCCCCTGTCTCCCCCTGTCTCCCCGTGTCTCTCCCCCACAGAGGAGCGTGGCGATGGCTACCAGACGGACCACCAGGACTTTTGCGAGGTTTGCCAACAGCGTGGCGAGATTATCCTGTGTGACACGTGACTCCACGTGTCTCTCTCTGTCTCCCCCTGTCTCCCCGTGTCTCCCCGTGTCTCCCCGTGTCTCTCTCTCCCCGTGTCTCCCCCACAGAGGAGCGTGGCGATGGCTACCAGACGGACCACCAGGACTTTTGCGAGGTTTGCCAACAGCGTGGCGAGATCATCCTGTGTGACACGTGTCTCTCTCTGTCTCCACGTGTCTCCCCGTGTCTCTCTCCCCCACACAGAGGAGCGTGGCGATGGCTACCAGACGGACCACCAGGACTTTTGCGAGGTTTGCCAACAGCGTGGCGAGATTATCCTGTGTGACACGTGACTCTCTCTGTCTCCCCGTGTCTCCACGTGTCTCTCTCCCCCTGTCTCCCCGTGTCTCCCCGTGTCTCTCTCTCCCCGTGTCTCCCCCACAGAGGAGCGTGGCGATGGCTACCAGACGGACCACCAGGACTTTTGCGAGGTTTGCCAACAGCGTGGCGAGATTATCCTGTGTGACACGTGTCTCTCTCTGTCTCCCCGTGTCTCCCACGTGTCTCTCTCCACGTGTCTTTCTCCCCGTGTCTCCCCGTGTCTCTCTCCCCCACATAGAGGAGCGTGGCGATGGCTACCAGACGGACCACCAGGACTTTTGCGAGGTTTGCCAACAGCGTGGCGAGATCATCCTGTGTGACACGTGTCTCTCTCTGTCTCCCCGTGTCTCCCCGTGTCTCCCCCTGTCTCCCCGTGTCTCCCACCCCGTGTCTCTCACGTGTCTCCCCGTGTCTCCCCGTGTCTCCACGTGTCTTTCTCCCCGTGTCTCCCCGTGTCTCTCCCCACACAGAGGAGCGTGGCGATGGCTACCAGACGGACCACCAGGACTTTTGCGAGGTTTGCCAACAGCGTGGCGAGATCATCCTGTGTGACACGTGTCCACGTGCCCACCACCTCGTGTGCCTGGAGCCCGAGCTCGTGAAGGCTCCACACGGGAAGTGGAGCTGCCCGCACTGCGTGAGGACCCCCGCACCGAAGCGACGGACGCCGGCGCTGGCGCGCCATCGCATCGCATCGCTCGCTCAGTCGCTCAGTCACTCGCCACTTACTCACCACTTACTCACCACTCACTCACTCAGCACTCACTCACTCAGCACTCACTCACTCGCTCACTCACTCACCTACTCACTCACTCACCACTCATTCACTCACCCACTCACCCACCCACTCACCCACTCCCTCACCCACCCACTCATTCACTCACCACTCATTCACTCACCCACTCACTCACCCATTCACCCACTCACTCACTCACTTACTCACTCACTTACCCACCCACTCACCCACTCACCCACCCACTCACCCACTCACTTACCCACCCACTCACCCACCCACCCACTCACTCACTCACCCACCCACTCACCCACCTACTCACTCACTCACCCACTCACCCACCCACTCACTCACTCACTCACCCACCCACTCACTCACCCACTCACCCACCCACCCACTCACTCACTCACTCACCCACCCACTCACCCACCCACTCACCCACCCACCCACCCACTCACTCACTCACCCACTCACCCACCCACTCACCACCACCACCCCCCCACGCAGGAGAAAGAGGGCGTCCAGTGGGAAGCTGACGACGATGACGTGCCTCAGTCGCCCTCCACTGCCTCCTCCGCCACCGCCGCGGGCGACTCTGGCGGCCTCCGTCCGGCACGAGGAGGAGGAGGAGGTGGAGGAGGTGGACGAGGAGGTGGTGGAGGACGAGGAGGAGGTGGAGGACGAGGAGGAGGAGGTGTAGGAGGCGACGAGGCGTCCGTCGAAGACCGCCACATGGAGTTTTGCCGCGCCTGCAAGGACGGCGGCGAGCTGATCTGCTGCGACACGTGCCCCTCCTCGTTCCACATCCACTGCCTCAACCCACCACTCACCCACGTGCCCTGCGGGGAGTGGGCGTGTCCACGATGCACGGTGAGGGAGTGGGGGGCGGGGCCTGCGGGGAGTGGGCGTGTCCACGATGCACGGTAGCGAGCTGCTCTGCTGTGACACGTGCCCCTCCTCGTTCCACATCCACTGCCTCAACCCACCACTCACCCACGTGCCCTGCGGGGAGTGGGCGTGTCCACGATGCACGGTGAGGGAGTGGGGGGCGTGCCCTGCGGGGAGTGGGCGTGTCCACGATGCACGGTGAGGGAGGGGGGGCGGGGCCTGCGGGGAGTGGGCGTGTCCACGATGCACGGTAGCGAGCTGATCTGCTGTGACACGTGCCCCTCCTCGTTCCACATCCACTGCCTCAACCCACCACTCACCCACGTGCCCTGCGGGGAGTGGGCGTGTCCACGATGCACGGTAACTGGGGGGCGGGGCACGGGGAGTGGGCGTGTCCACGATGCACGGTAGCGAGCTGATCTGCTGCGACACGTGCCCCTCCTCGTTCCACATCCACTGCCTCAACCCACCACTCACCCACGTGCCCTGCGGGGAGTGGGCGTGTCCACGATGCACGGTGAGGGAGGGGCGTGCCCTGCGGGGAGTGGGCGTGTCCACGATGCACGGTAATGGGGGGGCGGGGCACGGGGAGTGGGCGTGTCCACGATGCACGGTAACTGGGGGCGTGCCCTGCGGGGAGTGGGCGTGTCCACAATGCACGGTGAGGGAGGGGTGTGCCCTGCGGGGAGTGGGCGTGTCCACGATGCACGGTAACTGGGGGGCGGGGCACGGGGAGTGGGCGTGTCCACGATGCACGGTAACTGGGGGGCGGGGCCTGCGGGGAGTGGGCGTGTCCACGATGCACGGCAGCGAGCTGCTCTGCTGCGACACGTGCCCCTCCTCGTTCCACATCCACTGCCTCAACCCACCACTCACCCACGTGCCCTGCGGGGAGTGGGCGTGTCCACGATGCACGGTGAGGGAGGGGGGGGGCGTGCCCTGCGGGGAGTGGGCGTGTCCACGATGCACGGTAGCGAGCTGATCTGCTGTGACACGTGCCCCTCCTCGTTCCACATCCACTGCCTCAACCCACCACTCACCCACGTGCCCTGCGGGGAGTGGGCGTGTCCACGATGCACGGTGAGGGAGGGGCGGGGCACGGGGAGTGGGCGTGTCCACGATGCACGGTGAGGGAGGGGGGGCGTGCCCTGCGGGGAGTGGGCGTGTCCACGATGCACGGTGAGGGAGTGGGGGGCGTGCCCTGCAGGGAGTGGGCGTGTCCACGATGCACGGTAAGGGGGGAGTGGGGGGCGTGCCCTGCGGGGAGTGGGCGTGTCCACGATGCACGGTAACTGGGGGGCGGGGCCTGCGGGGAGTGGGCGTGTCCACGATGCACGGTGAGGGAGGGGGGGCGTGCCCTGCGGGGAGTGGGCGTGTCCACGATGCACGGTAGCGGGCTGCTCTGCTGCGACACGTGCCCCTCCTCGTTCCACATCCACTGCCTCAACCCACCACTCACCCACGTGCCCTGCGGGGAGTGGGCGTGTCCACGATGCACGGTGAGGGAGGGGGGGGGCGTGCCCTGAGGGGAGTGGGCGTGTCCACGATGCACGGTGAGTGGGGGGCGTGCCCTGCGGGGAGTGGGCGTGTCCACGATGCACGGTGAGGGAGGGGCGGGGCACAGGGAGTGGGCGTGTCCACAATGCACGGTGAGGGAGGGGGCGTGCCCTGCGGGGAGTGGGCGTGTCCACGATGCACGGTGAGGGAGGGGCGGGGCACAGGAAGTGGGCGTGTCCACGATGCACGGTGAGGGAGGGGCGTGCCCTGCGGGGAGTGGGCGTGTCCACGATGCACGGTGAGGGAGGGGCGGGGCACGGGGAGTGGGCGTGTCCACGATGCACGGTAGCGGGGGAGTGGGGGGCGTGCCTGGCGGGGAGTGGGCGTGTCCATGATGCACGGTAACGGGGGAGTGGGGGGCGTGCCCTGCGGGGAGTGGGCGTGTCCACGATGCACGGTAGCGGGGGAGTGGGGGGCGTGCCTGGCGGGGAGTGGGCGTGTCCATGATGCACGGTAACAGGGGGCGTGCCCTGCGGGGAGTGGGCGTGTCCACGATGCACGGTAACGGGGGGCGTGCCCTGCGGGGAGTGGGCGTGTCCACGATGCACGGTGAGGGAGGGGCGTGCCCTGCGGGGAGTGGGCGTGTCCACGATGCACGGTAGCGAGCTGATCTGCTGTGACACGTGCCCCTCCTCGTTCCACATCCACTGCCTCAACCCACCACTCACCCACGTGCCCTGCGGGGAGTGGGCGTGTCCACGATGCACGGTAACTGGGGGCGTGCCCTGCGGGGAGTGGGCGTGTCCACGATGCACGGTGAGGGAGGGGGGGCGGGGCCTGCGGGGAGTGGGCGTGTCCACGATGCACGGTAACGGGGGGCGGGGCACAGGAAGTGGGCGTGTCCATGATGCACGGTAACGGGGGGCGTGCCCTGCGGGGAGTGGGCGTGTCCACGATGCACGGTAACGGGGGGCGTGCCCTGCGGGGAGTGGGCGTGTCCACGATGCACGGTGAGGGAGGGGCGTGCCCTGCGGGGAGTGGGCGTGTCCACGATGCACGGTAGCGAGCTGATCTGCTGTGACACGTGCCCCTCCTCGTTCCACATCCACTGCCTCAACCCACCACTCACCCACGTGCCCTGCGGGGAGTGGGCGTGTCCACGATGCACGGTAACTGGGGGCGTGCCCTGCGGGGAGTGGGCGTGTCCACGATGCACGGTGAGGGAGGGGGGGCGGGGCCTGCGGGGAGTGGGCGTGTCCACGATGCACGGTAACGGGGGGCGGGGCACGGGGAGTGGGCGTGTCCACGATGCACGGTGAGGGAGGGGGGGCGGGGCCTGCGGGGAGTGGGCGTGTCCACGATGCACGGTAACGGGGGAGTGGGGGGCGTGCCCTGCGGGGAGTGGGCGTGTCCACGATGCACGGTGAGGGAGGGGCGTGCCCTGCTGGGAGTGGGCGTGTCCACGATGCACGGTGAGGGAGGGGCGTGCCCTGCGGGGAGTGGGCGTGTCCACGATGCACGGTGAGGGAGGGGCGTGCCCTGCGGGGAGTGGGCGTGTCCACGATGCACGGTAACTGGGGGGCGTGCCCTGCGGGGAGTGGGCGTGTCCACGATGCACGGTAACTGGGGGGCGTGCCCTGCGGGGAATGGGCGTGTCCACGATGCACGGTAACGGGGAGTGGGGAAAGTACCCTGGGGGCACGGGGGGGAGTGAAAGTGCCGTGGGGGCACCGGGGGAGTGCCCTGGGGGCACGGGGAGTGGGGGGAGTGCCCTGGGGGCACGGGGGAGCTTTGTCTGTGTGTTGGTGCTGCTACTACTAACAGCACTTGCCCCTACAGCCTGCTAGAGGCTACCTGGGGGAGCTTTGTCTGTGTGTGGGTGCTGCTACTACTAACAGCACTTGCCCCTACAGCCTGCTAGAGGCTACCTGGGGGAGCTTTGTCTGTGTGTAGGTGCTGCTACTACTAACAGCACTTGCCCCTACAGCCTGCTAGAGGCTACCTGGGGGAGCTTTGTCTGTGTGTGGGTGCTGCTACTACTAACAGCACTTGCCCCTACAGCCTGCTAGAGGCTACCTGGGGGAGCTTTGTCTGTGTGTAGGTGCTGCTACTACTAACAGCACTTGCCCCTACAGCCTGCTAGAGGCTACCTGGGGGAGCTTTGTCTGTGTGTAGGTGCTGCTACTAACAGCACTTGCCCCTACAGCCTGCTAGAGGCTACCTGGGGGAGCTTTGTCTGTGTGTAGGTGCTGCTACTACTAACAGCACTTGCCCGTACAACCTGCTAGAGGCTACACGGGGGAACTTTGTCTGTGACTGTGTGTGTGTGACTGTGTGTGTGACTGTGTGTATGACTGTGTATGTGACTGTGTGTGTATGTGTGACTGTGTGTGTGACTGTGTGTATGTGTGTGTGTGACTGTGTGTGACTGTGTGTGTGTCTGTGTATGTGTGTGTGTATGTGTGTATGTGTGACTGTGTGTGTGTGACTGTGTGACTGTGTACGTGTGTGTGTGTGTGTGACTGTGTATATGTGTGTATGTATGTGTGACTGTGTGTGTATGTATGTGTGTGGCTGTGACTGGGTGTGACTGTGTGTGACTGTGTGACTGTATGTGTGTGACTGTGTGTATGTATGTATGACTGTGTGTGTGTGACTGTGTGTGTGTATGTGTGTGACTGTGTGTGACTGTGTGACTGTGTGTATGTGTGTCTGTGTGTGTGTCTGTGTGTGTGTCTGTGTGTATGTATGACTGTGTGTGACTGTGTGACTGTGTATGTGTTTGTCTGTGTATGACTGTGTGTGTGACTGTGTGTGTGACTGTATGTGACTGTATGACTGTGTGACTGTATGTGTATGTATGTATGACTGTGTGTGACTGTGTGTATGACTGTGTGTGTGTGTGACTGTGTGTGTGTGTCTGTGTGTATGTGTGTGACTGTGTGTGACTGTGTGACTGTGTATGTGTGTGACTGTGTGTGACTGTGTGTGTGACTGTATGTGTGACTGTATGTGACTGTGTGACTGTGTGTATGTGTATGACTGTATGTGTATGACTGTGTGACTGTATGACTGTGTGACTGTATGACTGTGTGTGTGTATGACTGTATGTGTGTATGACTATGTGTATGACTGTATGTGTATGACTGTATGTGTATGACTGTGTGTGTGTGTGACTGTGTGTGTGTCTGTGTGTATGTGTGTGACTGTGTGTGACTGTGTGTGACTGTGTGACTGTGTGTATGTGTGTATGTCTGTGTGTGTGTATGACTGTGTATGACTGTGTGACTGTGTATGTGTGTGACTGTGTGTGACTGTGTGTGTGACTGTATGTGTGACTGTATGTGACTTTGTGACTGTGTGTATGTGTATGACTTTATGTGTATGACTGTATGTGACTGTGTGACTGTGTGTATGTGTGTGTGTCTGTGTGTGTGTATGACTGTGTATGACTTTGTGATTGTGTATGTGTGTGACTGTGTGTGTGACTGTATGTGTGACTGTATGTGACTGTGTGACTGTGTGTATGACTGTATGTGTATAGCTGTATGTGTGTATGACTGTATGACTGTATGTGTATGACTGTATGTGTATGACTGTATGTGTATGACTGTATGTGTGTATGACTGTATGACTGTATGTGTATGCCTGTATGTGTGTATGACTGTATGTGTATGACTGTGTGTGACTGTATGTGACTGTATGACTGTATGACTGTATGTGTATAACTGTATGTGTGTATGACTGTATGTGTATGACTGTGTGTGACTGTGTGTGTGACTGTATGACTGTATGACTGTGTGACTGTATGTGTATGACTGTATGACTGTATGTGTATGACTGTATGACTGTATGTGTGTATGTGTATGACTGTATGTGTGTATGACTGTATGTGTATGACTGTGTGTGACTGTGTGTGTGACTGTATGTGACTGTATGACTGTATGACTGTATGTGTGTATGTGTATGACTGTATGACTGTATGTGTGTATATGTATGACTGTATGACTGTATGTGTATGACTGTATGACTGTATGTGTATGACTGTATGACTGTATGTGTATGACTGTGTGTATGTGTATGACTGTTTGTGTGTATGACTGTATGTGTGTATGACTGTATGACTGTATGTGTATGGCTGTATGACTGTATGTGACTGTATGACTGTATGTGTGTATGACTGTATGACTGCATGTGTATGGCTGTATGACTGTATGACTGTATGTGTATGACTGTATGTGACTGTATGACTGTATGTGTATGACTGTATGTGTGTATGACTGTATGACTGTGTGTGTATGACTGTCTGTGTCTGTATGACTGTATGTATGTGTGTGTCTGTGTGTATGTATGACTGTGTGACTGTGTTACTGTGTATGTGTGTGACTGTATGTGACTGTATGACTGTATGTGTATGACTGTATGACTGTATGTGTATGACTGTATGTGACTGCATGTGTATGACTGTATGACTGTATGACTGTCTGTGTCTGTGTGTGACTGTGTGACTGTGTATGTGTATGACTGTGTATGACTGTGTGTGACTGTGTGTGTGTGACTGTATGTGTGACTGTATGTGTATGACTGTATGTATGACTGTGTGTGACTGTGTGTGTGTGACTGTGTGACTGTATGTGTATGACTGTATGTATGACTGTATGACTGTATGTGTATGACTGTATGACTGTATCTGTGTCTGTGTGTTGTCGCAGTGCCCCCCACTGAAGGGCAAAGTGCAGAAGATTCTCCACTGGCGTTGGACAGAGCCCCCCACGGCTCCCCCAGAGCCCCCCACGGCTCCCCCAGAGCCCCCCACGGCTCCCCCAGAGCCCCCCTCGGCTCCCCCAGAGCTGCCCACGCCCCCAGCAGCAGCAGCAGGAGCAGCTTCAGGGGCAGCAGCAGCAGGGGCAGCATCAGGGGCAGCAGCAGCATCAGGGGCAGCAGCAGCATCAGGGGCAGCAGCAGGAGCAGCATCAGGGGCAGCAGTAGCTTCAGGGGCAGCAGCAGCAGCAGTAGCGGGGGCAGCATCAGGGGCAGCAGCTTCAGGGGCAGCTTCAGGGGCAGCAGCAGCCTCAGGGCCAGGGGCAGCAGCAGCCTCAGGGGCAGCTCCAGGGGCAGCAGCAGCAGCAGGGGCAGCAGTAGCAGCTGTAGTAGCGGGGGCAGCAGCTTCAGGGGCAGCTTCAGGGGCATCAGCAGCAGGGGCAGCAGTAGCAGCAGTAGCAGCAGGGGCAGCAGGGGCATCAGCAGCAGCAGCAGCAGGGGCATCAGCAGCAGCAGCAGGGGCAGCAGTAGCAGCTGTAGTAGTAGCGGGGGCAGCAGTAGCAGCTGTAGCAGCGGGGGCAGCAGCTGTAGAACTGCCCACGCCCCGCACGGCCACTCCAGAGGCAGCCACCGCCAGCAGCTGCCCCGGTGGTGGTGGTGGTGGTGGTGATGGTGGGGGTGGTGCCCTAGCCACGGAGAGCCGGGGGCAGCCGTACGAGCAGCAGCAGCAGGGGCAGCAGCAGGAGCAGCAGCAGCAGCAGCTTCAGGGGCAGCAGCTGGATCAGGGGCAGCTTCAGGGGCAGCAGCTTCAGGGGCAGCAAGAGCAACAGCAGCAGCAGGAGCAGCTTCAGGGGCAGCTTCAGGGGCAGCTTCAGGGGCAGCTTCAGGGGCAGCTTCAGGGGCAGCTTCAGGGGCAGCTTCAGGGGCAGCTTCAGGGGCAGCTTCAGGGGCAGCAGCTAGATCAGGGGCAGCAGCAGCAGGGGCAGCAGCTGGAGCAGGGGCAGGAGCAGCAGCAGCAGGGGCAGCTGGAGCAGGAGCAGCTTCAGGGGCAGCTTCAGGGGCAGCTTCAGGGGCAGCTTCAGGGGCAGCTTCAGGGGCAGCAGCCTCAGGGGCAGCTTCAGGGGCAGCTTCAGGGGCAGCAGCCTCAGGGGCAGCTCCCGGGGCAGCTTCAGGGGCAGCTCCAGGGGCAGCTGGCCCGGAAGCCCGAGAGGGAATTCTTTGTCAAATGGGTGGGGCTCTCCTACTGGCATTGCTCCTGGGTGTCTGAGCTACAGGTGAGTGGTGAGTGAGTGAGTGGGTGAGTGAGTGGGTGAGTGGGTGAGTGAGTGGGTGAGTGAGTGAGTGGGTGAGTGGGTGAGTGTGTGAGTGGGTGGTGAGTGAGTGAGTGGGTGAGTGGGTGGGTGGGTGAGTGAGTGGGTGGGTGAGTGAGTGAGTGGGTGGGTGAGTGGGTGAGTGAGTGGGTGAGTGAGTGGGTGGGTGAGTGAGTGGGTGAGTGAGTGGGTGAGTGGGTGAGTGAGTGAGTGGGTGGTGAGTGGGTGGTGAGTGGGTGAGTGGGTGGGTGAGTGGGTGGGTGAGTGGGTGGTGAGTGGGTGGTGAGTGGGTGAGTGAGTGAGTGAGTGGGTGGGTGAGTGGGTGGGTGAGTGGGTGAGTGAGTGGGTGAGTGAGTGAGTGGGTGAGTGAGTGGGTGAGTGGGTGGGTGGGTGGGTGAGTGGGTGAGTGGTGAGTGACTGACTGAGTGACGGAGTGAGTGACTGAGTGACTGAGTGACTGACTGAGTGACGGAGTGAGTGACTGAGTGAGTGAGTGAGTGACTGAGTGACTGAGTGAGTGAGTGACTGAGTGACTGACTGAGTGACCGCATGACTGCCTGCCTGCCTGGCTGCCTGAGTGCCTGCCTGCCTGCCTGCCTGACTGCCTGCCTGCCTGCCTGACTGCCTGACAGCCTGCCTGCCTGCCTGACTGCCTGGCTGCCTGGCTGCCTGAGTGCCTGCCTGCCTGCCTGCCTGCCTGCCTGCCTGACTGCCTGCCTGCCTGCCTGCCTGACTGCCTGACTGCCTGCCTGCCTGACTGCCTGACTGCCTGCCTGACTGACTGACTGCCTGACTGACTGAGTAACTGAGTGAGTGGGTGCCTGCCTGCCTGACGGAGTGACTGCCTGCCTGACTGCCTGACTGCCTGCCTGCCTGCCTGACTGCCTGCCTGCCTGCCTGCCTGACTGCCTGCCTGCCTGCCTGACTGACTGCCTGACTGACTGCCTGCCTGACTGCCTGACTGCCTGCCTGCCTGCCTGCCTGACTGACTGCCTGCCTGACTAACTGCCTGACTGCCTGCCTGCCTGCCTGACTGCCTGCCTGCCTGCCTGACTGACTGACTGACTGAGTGACTGAGTGAGTGGGTGACTGACTGCCTGCCTGCCTGACTAACTGTCTGCCTGCCTGACTGACTGAATGACTGAGTGACTGAGTAACTGAGTGAGTGGGTGCCTGCCTGCCTGCCTGCCTGACTGCCTGCCTGCATGCCTGCCTGCCTGACTGACTGCCTGACTGACTGACTGCCTGATTGACTGCCTGAATGCCTGCCTGACTGACTGCCTGGCTGCCTGACTGCCTGCCTGCCTGACTAACTGCCTGCCTGCCTGCATGACTGCCTGCCTGCCTGACTGACTGCCTGCCTGACTAACTGCCTGCCTGACTGCCTGCCTGCCTGCCTGCCTGCCTGCCTGCCTGACTGCCTGCCTGCCTGCCTGCCTGACTGACTGCCTGCCTGACTGACTGCCTGCCTGCCTGACTGACTGAGTGAGTTACTGACTGACTGAGTGAGTGACTGACTGACTGAGTGCCTGACTGCCTGCCTGCCTGCCTGACTGACTGCCTGACTACCTGCCTGCCTGCCTGCCTGCCTGACTGCCTGCCTGCCTGACTGACTGACTGCCTGTCTGCCTGCCTGCCTGCCTGACTGCCTGCCTGACTGCCTGACTGAGTGACTGAGTGAGTGGGTGAGTGGTTGACTGCCTGCCTGCCTGCCTGACTGACTGCCTGCCTGACTGCCTGCCTGCCTGCCTGACTGACTGCCTGACTGCCTGACTGACTGCCTGACTGCCTGACTGCCTGCCTGACTGACTGAGTGACTGAGTGAGTGGGTGAGTGACTGCCTGACTGACTGACTGAGTGACTGAGTGAGTGAGTGACTGCCTGCCTGCCTGCCTGACTGACTGCCTGACTACCTGCCTGCCTGCCTGCCTGACTGCCTGCCTGCCTGACTGACTGACTGCCTGTCTGCCTGCCTGACTGACTGCCTGCCTGACTGCCTGACTGAGTGACTGAGTGAGTGGGTGAGTGGTTGACTGCCTGCCTGCCTGCCTGCCTGCCTGACTGACTGCCTGCCAGACTGCCTGCCTGCCTGCCTGACTGCCTGACTGCCTGCCTGATTGACTGAGTGACTGAGTGAGTGGGTGAGTGACTGCCTGACTGCCTGCCTGACTGACTGACTGAGTGACTGAGTGAGTGAGTGACTGCCTGCCTGCCTCCCTGACTGACTGCCTGACTACCTGCCTGCCTGCCTGCCTGCCTGACTGCCTGCCTGCCTGCCTGACTGACTGACTGCCTGTCTGCCTGCCTGACTGACTGCCTGCCTGACTGCCTGACTGAGTGACTGAGTGAGTGGGTGAGTGGTTGACTGCCTGCCTGCCTGCCTGCCTGACTGACTGCCTGCCAGACTGCCTGCCTGCCTGCCTGACTGCCTGACTGACTGAGTGAGTTACTGACTGACTGACTGAGTGAGTGACTGACTGACTGACTGAGTGCCTGCCTGCCTGCCTGCCTGACTGACTGACTGACTGCCTGCCTGACTGCCTGCCTGCCTGACTGCCTGACTGCCTGACTGACTGAGTGACTGAGTGAGTGAGTGACTGCCTGCCTGACTGACTGACTGCCTGCCTGACTGAGTGACTGCCTGCCTGACTGACTGCCTGACTGCCTGCCTGCCTGACTGACTGCCTGACTAAGTGAGTGCCTGCTTGATTGCCTGCCTGACTGACTGACTAACTAACTGAGTGACTGAGTGAGTGGGTGAGTGGTTGACTGACTGCCTGCCTGACTGACTGACTGACTGCCTGCCTGCCTGCCTGCCTGACTGCCTGCCTGACTGCCTGCCTGCCTGCCTGACTGCCTGACTGAGTGAGTGAGTGACTGCCTGCCTGCCTGCCTGCCTGACTGACTGACTGCCTGCCTGCCTGACTGACTGACTGAGTGAGTTACTGACTGACTGACTGCCTGAGTGAGTGACTGACTGACTGAGTGAGTGAGTGACTGACTGACTGAGTGCCTGCCTGACTGACTGCCTGCCTGCCTGCCTGACTGCCTGCCTGACTGACTGACTGCCTGACTGACTGACTGCCTGCCTGCCTGCCTGACTGCCTGCCTGACTGACTGAGTGAGTGGGTGAGTGGTTGACTGCCTGCCTGCCTGCCTGACTGCCTGCCTGCCTGACTGAGTGACTGCCTGCCTGACTGACTGCCTGACTGACTGACTGCCTGCCTGCCTGAGTGCCTGACTGCCTGCCTGCCTGACTGTACTGAGTGAGTGAGTAAGTGACTGCCTGACTGCCTGCCTGACTCACCACCCCACGGCATCCCCGCCCGCTCCGCCATCAGCTGGAGCTACACCACAACGTCATGTATCGCAACTACCAGCGCAAGAATGACATGGAGGATCCTCCTCCCTACGAGCACGGCTCCGACGAGGAGATGATGGTGGTGGTGGACGACGAGGTGGACTCCGTGCATCGCTCGTCCGCGCAGAGTCGCCCGACGCCGGTCAAGGACCCCAGGGCCGTTGAATCACTCGCCCAGACGCACTACCGCTACGGGATCAAGCCTGAGTGGCTCGTGATACACCGTGTGTTGGTGCACAGGTATGGGGGTGGGTGGGGGTGTGACTCACTCACTCACTGATTCACTCGCTGATTCACTCACTGATTCACTGGCTCACTCACTCACATACCCACTCACCCACTCACCCACTCACTCACTCACCCACTCACTCACTCACTGATTCACTCACTCACTCACCCACTCACTCACTGATTCACTCACTCACTCGCCCACTCACTCACTGAGTGACTCACTCACTGAGTGAATCACTCGCCCAGACGCACTACCGCTACGGGATCAAGCCTGAGTGGCTCGTGATACACCGTGTGTTGGTGCACAGGTATGGGGGTGGGTGGGGGTGTGACTCACTCACTGATTCACTCATTCACTCACTGGCTCACTGATTCACTCACTGATTCACTCACTCACTCACTGACCCACTCACTCACCCACTCACTCACTCACTCACCCACTCACTCACCCACTCACTCACCCACTCACTCACTCACTCACCCACTCACTCACTCACTCACCCACCCACTCACTCACCCACTCACTCACTCACTGAGTGACTCACTTGCTCACTCACTCACTGAGTGACTCACTCACTGAGTGACTCACTCACTGAGTGAATCACTCGCCCAGACGCACTACCGCTACGGGATCAAGCCTGAGTGGCTCGTGATACACCGTGTGTTGGTGCACAGGTATGGGGGTGGGTGGGGGTGTGACTCACTCACTCACCCACTGATTCACTCATTCACTCACTGATTCACTCGCTGATTCACTCACTCACTCGCTCACCCACTCACCCACTCACTCACTCGCTCAGTCACTCACTGATTCACTCACTCACTCACTGATTCACTCGCTCGCTGATTCACTCACTCACTCACCCACTCGCTCACTGATTCACTCACTCACTCACTCGCTGATTCACTCACTCACTCGCTGATTCACTCACTCACTCACCCACTCACTCACCCACTCACTCACTCACTCACCCACTCACTCACTCACCCACTCACCCACTCACCCACTCACTCACCCACTCACTCACTCACCCACTCACTCACTCACTGAGTGACTCACTCACTGATTCACTCACTCACTCACTGAGTGACTCACTCGCCCAGACGCACTACCGCTACGGGATCAAGCCTGAGTGGCTCGTGATACACCGTGTGTTGGTGCACAGGTATGGGGGTGGGTGGGGGTGTGACTCACTCACTCACTGATTCACTCATTCACTCACTGATTCACTCGCTGATTCACTCACTCACTCACTGAGTGACTCACTCGCCCAGACGCACTACCGCTACGGGATCAAGCCTGAGTGGCTCGTGATACACCGTGTGTTGGTGCACAGGTATGGGGGTGGGTGGGGGTGTGACTCACTCACTCATTCACTCACTCACTCACTGGCTCACTGATTCACTCACTCACTCACCCACTCGCTCAGTCGCTCACTGATTCGCTCGCTCACTCACCCACTCACCCACTCACTCACCCACCCACTCACTCACTCACCCACTCACTCACTCACCCACTCACTCACCCACTCACTCACTCGTTCACTCACCCACTCACTCGCCCACTCACTCACTCACTGAGTGACTCACTCGCCCAGACGCACTACCGCTACGGGATCAAGCCTGAGTGGCTCGTGATACACCGTGTGTTGGTGCACAGGTATGGGGGTGGGTGGGGGTGTGACTCACTCACTCACCCACTGATTCACTCACTCACTCACCCACTCACTGATTCACTCACTCACTCGCTGATTCACTCACTCACTCACTGGCTCACTGATTCACTCACCCACTCACCCACTCACTGATTCACTCACTCACTCACCCACTCACCCACTCGCTCAGTCGCTCACTCGCTGATTCACTCACTCACTCACTGGCTCACTGATTCACTCACCCACTCACCCACTCACTGATTCACTCACTCACCCACCCACTCACTCACCCACCCACCCACTCACCCACTCACTCACTCACTGAGTGACTCACTCGCTCACTCACTCACTGAGTGACTCACTCACTGAGTGACTCACTCACTGAGTGACTCACTCGCCCAGACGCACTACCGCTACGGGATCAAGCCTGAGTGGCTCGTGATACACCGTGTGTTGGTGCACAGATGTGGGGGTGGGTGGGGGTGTGACTCACTCACTCACTCGCTGATTCACTCACTCACTCACCCACTCACTGATTCACTCACTCACTCGCTGATTCACTCACTGATTCACTCACTGATTCACTCACTCGCTCACCCACTCACATACTCGCTCAGTCGCTCACTGATTCACTCACTCACTCACATACCCACTCACCCACTCACCCACTCACTCACTCACTCACCCACCCATCCACTCACTCACCCACTCACTCACTCACTCACCCACCCATCCACTCACTCACCCACTCACTCACTCACTCACCCACTCACTCACTCACTGAGTGACTCACTCGCTCGCTCACTCACTGAGTGACTCACTCACTGAGTGACTCACTCACTGAGTGACTCACTCGCCCAGACGCACTACCGCTACGGGATCAAGCCTGAGTGGCTCGTGATACACCGTGTGTTGGTGCACAGGTATGGGGGTGGGTGGGGGTGTGACTCACTCACTCACTGACTCACTCACTCACTCACTGATTCACTCACTGATTCACTCACTCACTCACTGATTCACTCACTCACTCACTGATTCACTCACTCACTCGCTCAGTCGCTCACTGATTCGCTCCCTCGCTTGCTCACTCACCCACCCACTCACCCACTCACTCACTCACTGATTCACTCGCTGATTCACTCACCCACTCACTGATTCACTCACTCACTCACCCACTCACTCACTCACTCACCCACTCATTCACTCACCCACTCACCCACTCGCTCAGTCGCTCACTCGCTGATTCACTCACTCACTCACCCACTCACCCACTCGCTCAGTCGCTCACTCGCTGATTCACTCACTCACTCACTGATTCACTCACTCGCTCGCTCACTCACTCACTCACTCGCCCACTCACTCACTCACCCAATCACTCACTCACCCACTCACTCGCTCACTCACTCACCCACTCACTCACCCACTCACTCACTCACCCACTCACTCACTCACCCACCCACCCACTCACTGAGTGACTCACTCACTGAGTGAATCACTCGCCCAGACGCACTACCGCTACGGGATCAAGCCTGAGTGGCTCGTGATACACCGTGTGTTGGTGCATAGGTGTGGGGGTGGGTGGGGGTGTGACTCACTCACTCGCTCATTCACTCACTCACTCACTCGCTGATTCACTCACTGATTCACTCACTCACTCACTGATTCACTCACTCACTCGCCCACTCACTCACTCACTGATTCACTCACTCACTCACCCACCCACTCACTCACTCACCCACCCACTCACCCACTCACTCACTCACTGATTCACTCACCCACTCACTCACTCACCCACTCACTCACTCACTCACCCACTCACTCACTCGCTCACTCACTCATTCACTCACTCACCCACCCACTCACCCACTCACTCACTCACTGATTCACTCACCCACTCACTCACTCACCCACTCACTCACTCACCCACTCACCCACTCACCCACTCACTCACTCACTGATTCACCCACCCACTCACCCACTCACTCACTCACTGATTCACTCACTCACTCGCCCACTGATTCACTCGCTCACTCGCTGATTCACTCACTCACTCGCTCACTCACTCACCCACGCACTCACTCACCCACTCACTCACTCACCCACTCACCCACTCACTCACTGATTCACTCACTCACTCGCCCACTGATTCACTCGCTCACTGATTCACTCGCTCACTGATTCACTCGCTCACTGATTCACTCGCTCACTGATTCACTCGGTCGCTCGCTCACTCGCTCACTCATTCACTCGCTCACTCAATCGCTCACTCACTCATTCACTCACTCACTCGCTCACTCACTCGTTCACTCACTCACTCATTCACTCACTCACCCACTCACTCACTCACCCACTCACTCACCACTCATTCACTCACTCACTCGCTCGCCCATTCACTCACTCGTGATGGTGGTTGTATTGGTGGTTGTGTTGGTGGTTGTGGTGGTGGTTGTGGTGGTGGTGGTGGTTCTGTTGTGCTGGTGGTTGTGGCGGTCGTGGTTGCGGTGGTGATTGTGGTGGTGATTGCGGTTGTTGTGGTTGTGGTGGTTGTTGTTGTGGTGGTTGTTGTGGTGGTTGTTGTGGTGGTTGTGGTGGTTGTTGTGGTGGTTGTTGTTGTGGTGGTTGTTGTGGTGGTTGTTGTGGTGGTTGTGGTGGTTGTTGTGGTGGTTGTTGTGGTGGTTGTTGTGGCGGTTGTTGTGGTTGTTGTGGCGGTTGTTGTGGTTGTTGTTGTGGTGGTTGTTGTGGTTGTTGTGGTTGTTGTTGTGGTGGTTGTTGTGGTGGTTGTTGTGGTTGTTGTTGTGGTGGTTGTGGTGGTGGTTGTTGTGGTGGTTGTGGTGGTGGTGGTTGTGGTGGTGGTGGTTGTGGTGGTGATTTCGGTGTTTGTGTTGATTGATGTTGTTATTGTTGTTGTGGTGGTGGTTGTTGTTGTTGTGGTTTTGGTGTTTGTGTTGATTGTTGTTGTTGTGGTTGTTGTTATTGTTGTTGTGGTTGTTGTTGTTGTGGTTGTTGTTGTTATTGTTGTGGTGGTGGTTGTGGTGGTGATTTCCGTGTTTGTGTTGATTGTTGTTGTTGTAGTTGTTGTGGTTGTTGTGGTTGTTGTTGTTGTGGTTGTTGTGGTTGTTGTTGTGGTGGTGGTTGTTGTGGTGATTTCAGTGTTTGTCTTGATTGATGTTGTTGTTATTGTTGTTGTGGTTGTTGTTGTTGTGGTGGTGGTGGTTGTTGTGGTGATTTCAGTGTTTGTGTTGATTGATGTTGTTATTGTTGTTGTGATTGTTGTTGTGGTGGTGGTTGTGGTGGTTGTTGTGGTGGTGATTTCGGTGTTTGTGTTGATTGATGTTGTTGTTGTTATTGTTGTGGTTGTTGTTGTTGTTGTTGTGGTGGTGATTGTGTTGTGGTTGTTGTGGTTGTTGTGGTTGTTGTGGTGGTGGTTGTTGTGGTGGTGGTGATTTCAGTGTTTGTGTTGATTGATGTTGTTGTTATTGTTGTTGTTGTGGTTGTTGTTGTTGTTGTTGTGGTTGTTGTGGTGGTGGTGGTTGTGGTGGTGATTTCGGTGTTTGTGTTGATTGTTGTTGTTGTGGTTGTTGTAGTGGATGTGGTGGTGGTGGTGATTTCGGTGTTTGTGTTGATTGTTGTTGTGGTGGTGGTGGTGATTTCAGTGTTTGTGTTGATTGATGTTGTTATTGTTGTTGTGGTTGTTGTGGTGGTGGTGGTTGTTGTGGTGGTGGTGATTTCAGTGTTTGTGTTGATTGTTGTTGTTGTGGTTGTGGTGGTGGTGATTTCAGTGTTTGTGTTGATTGATGTTGTTATTGTTGTTGTGGTTGTTGTTGTTGTGGTGGTGGTGGTGATTTCAGTGTTTGTGTTGATTGATGTTGTTATTGTTGTTGTGGTTGTTGTGGTGGTGGTGGTGATTTCAGTGTTTGTGTTGATTGATGTTGTTGTTATTGTTGTTGTGGTTGTTGCTGTGGTGGTGGTGGTGGTGGCGTAGTGTGGACAGGAAGGGCAACCTGCTCTACCTGATCAAGTGGAGGGACCTTGCCTATGACCAGAGCACATGGGAGAAGGAGGATTTGGACATTCCAGACTACGAGCTCCACCGTACCCTATACTGGAACCAGCGGTGGGGAGCGCTTACAGCTCACTCACTCACTTACACACTCACTTACACACTCACTTACACACTCACCTACACACTTACACACTCACCTACACACTCACTCACTTACACACTCACTCACTTACACACTCACTTACACACTCACTTACACACTCACTCACTTACACACTCACCTACACACTCACTCACCCACTCACTTACACACTCACTCACTCACTTACTCACTCACCTACACACTCACTCACCCACTCACTTACACACTCACTTACACACTCACTCACTCACTTACACACCCACTTACACACTCACTCACTTACACACTCACTCACTTACACACTCACTCACCTACACACTCACTTACACACTCACTTACACACTTACACACTCACTTACACACTCACTTACACACTCACTCACTTACACACCCACTTACACACTCACCCACTTACACACTCACTTACACACTCACTTACACACTCACTCACTTACACACTCACTTACACACTCACTCACTCACTTACACACTCACTTACACACTCACTTACACACTCACTCACTTACACACTCACTCACTTACACACTCACTTACACACTCACTCACTTACACACTCACTTACACACTCACTTACACACTCACTCACTCACCCACTCACTCACTCACTCACTTACACACCCACTTACACACTCACTCACTTACACACTCACTCACTTACACACTCACTTACACACTCACTCACTTACACACTTACTTACACACTCACTCACTTACACACTCACCCACTTACACACTCACTCACTTACACACTCACTTACACACTCACTTATTTACACACTCACTTACACACTCACTCACTTACACACTCACTTACACACTCACTCACTTACACACTCACTTACACACTCACTTACACACTCACTTACTTACACACTCACTCACTTACATACTCACTTACACACTCACTTACACACTCACTCACTCACCCACTTACACACTCACCCACTTACACACTCACTTACACACTCACTCACTTACACACTCACTTACACACTCACTCACTTACACACTCACTTACACACTCACTCACTTACACACTCACTTACACACTCACTCACTCACTTACACACTCACTCACTTACACACTCACTTACACACTCACTTACACACTCACCTACACACTCACTCACCCACTTACACACTCACTCACTTACACACTCACTTACTTACACACTCACTTACACACTCACTTACACACTCACTCACTCACTTACACACCCACTTACACACTCACTCACTTACACACTCACTCACTTACACACTCACCCACTTACACACTCACTTACTCACTTACACACTCACTTACACACTCACTTACACACTCACTCACTTACCCACTTACACACTCACTCACTTACACACTCACTCACTTACACACTCACTCACTTACACACTCACTCACACACTCACTTACACACGCACTTACACACTCACTTATACACTCACTCACTCACTTACACACTCACCTACACACTCACTTACACACTTACACACTCACCTACTTACACACTCACCCACTTACACACTCACTTACACACTCACTTACACACTCACTCACTCACTTACACACTCACTCACTTACACACTCACCTACTCACTCACTCACTTACACACTCACTCACTTACACACTCACCTACTCACTCACTCACTTACACACTCACCTACACACTCACCCACTTACACACTCACTCACTTACACACTCACTTACACACTCACTTACGCACTCACTCACTTACACACTCACTCACTTACACACTCACTCACTTACACACTCACCTACACACTCACTCACCCACTTACACACTCACTCACTTACACACTCACCTACACACTCACTCACTCACTTACACACTCACTCACTTACACACTCACCTACACACTCACTCACTCACTTACACACTCACCTACACACTGACTCACTCACTTACACACTCACCTACACACTCACTCACTCACTTACACACTCACCTACTCACTCACTCACACACTTACACACTCACTCACTTACACACTCACCTACACACTCACTCACCCACTTACACACTCACCTACACACTCACTCACCCACTTACACACTCACTCACTTACACACTCACCTACACACTCACTCACTTACACACTCACCTACACACTCACTCACCCACTTACACACTCACTCACTTACCCACTCACCTACACACTCACTCACTCACTTACTCACTCACCCACTCACTCAGCCACTCACTCAGTCACTCACTCACATACTCACTCACCTACTCACTCACCACTCACACACTCACCCACCCACTCACCCACTTACACACTCACTCACTTACACACTCACCTACACAATCACTCACTCACTCACTCAGCCACTCACTCAGTCACTCACTCACCTACTCACTCACTCACTCACCCACCCACTCACTCACCTACTCACTCACCTACTCACTCACCACTCACACACTCACTCACACACTCACTCAGCCACTCACTCAGTCACTCACTCACCTACTCACTCACTCACTCACACACTCACTCACTCACTCACACACTCACCTACACACTCACTCACTTACTCACCCACTCACTCAGCCACTCACTCAGTCACTCACTCACCTACTCACTCACTCACTCACCCACTCACTCACTCACCTACTCACTCACCTACTCACTCACCACTCACACACTCACCCACCCACTCACCCACTCACACACTCACTGACTCACACACTCACCTACTCATTCACCACTCACTCACTCACTCACCTACTCACTCACCTACTCACTCACACACTCACACACTCACTGACTCACTCACCTACTCACTCACCTACTCACCTACTCACTCACCTACTCACTTACCTACTCACTCACTCACTAACTGACTCACTCACTGACTCACTCACCTACTCACTCACTTACACACTCACCACCCACTCACTCACCACTCACTCACTCACTCACACACTCACTCATTCACCCACTCACTCACTCACCGCTCGCTCACTCACCACTCACTCACTCACTCACCTACTCACTCACCTACTCACTCACCACTCACCCACTCACTCACTCACTCACCTACTCATTCACCTACTCACTCACCACTCACTCACTCACTCACACACTCACTCACCCACTCACTCACTCACACACTCACTCACCCACTCACTCACTCACTGACTTACACACTCACCTACTCACTCACTCACTCACTGACTCACTCACTCACGACTCACTCACTCACTCACCACTCACTCACCCACTCACCCATTCGTTAACCCACTCACCCATTCGCTCACCCACTCACTCACTCACTCACCCACTCACTCACCTACTCACTCACCACTCACTCACTCACACACTCACTCACTCACTTACTCACCACTCACTCACTTACTCACTCACCCACTCACCCACTCACCCACTCACTCATTCACTCACCTACTCACTCACCTACTCACTCACCACTCACTCACCTACTCACCCACTCACTCACTCACTCACCTACTCACTCACCTACTCACTCACCACTCACTCACCACTCACTCACTCACTCACCCACTCACCCACCCACTCACTCACTCACCTACTCACTCACCTACTCACTCACCACTCACTCACTCACACACTCACTCACACACTCACACACTCACCCACCCACTCACTCACTCACTCACCTACTCACTCACCACTCACTCACTCACCACTCACTCACTCACTTACTCACTCACTCACCTACTCACTCACTCACTGACTCACTCACTCACTCACTGACACTCACCACTCACTCACCACTCACCCACTCACTCAGCCACTCACTCAGTCACTCAGCCACTCACTCACTCACACACTCACCTACTCACTCACCTACTCACTCACTCACCCACTCACTCACTCACCGCTCGCTCACTCACCACTCACTCACTCACTCACCTACTCACTCACCTACTCACTCACCACTCACCCACTCACTCACTCACTCACCTACTCACTCACCTACTCACTCACCACTCACTCACTCACTCACACACTCACCCACTCACTCACTCACACACTCACTCACTCACTGACTCACACACTCACCTACTCACTCACTCACTGACTCACTCACTCACCACTCACTCACTCACTCACCCACTCACTCACTCACCACTCACTCACTCACTCACACACTCACTCATTAACTTACTTACTCACCACTCACTCACTTACTCACTCACCCACTCACCCACTCACCACTCACTCATTCACTCACCTACTCACACACCCACTCACTCACTCACTCACGCACCACTCACTCACCACTCACTCACCACTCACTCACCCACTCACCCACTCACTCACTGACTCACCTACTTACTCACCCACTCACTCGCTCACTCTCTCACCCATTCGCCCACTCTCTCACCCACTCACTCGCCCACTCACCCACTCACTCACTCGCCCACTCACCCACTCACTCGCCCACTCTCTCACCCACTCACTCGCCCACTCTCTCACCCACTCACTCGCCCACTCTCTCACCCACTCACTCGCCCACTCACCCACTCACTCGCCCACTCTCTCACCCACTCACTCGCTCACTCTCTCACCCACTCACTCGCCCACTCACCAATTCATTCACCCACTCACCCACTCACTCGCCCACTCTTTCACCCACTCACTCGCCCACCCTCTCACCCATTCATTCACCCACTCTCTCACCCACTCACTCGCTCATTCTCTCACCCACTCACTCGCCCACACTCTCACCCACTCACTCGCCCACTCACCCATCCATTCGCCCACTCTCTCACCCACTCACTCGCTCACTCTCTCACCCACTCACTCGCCCACTCACCCACTCACTCGCTCACTCGCTCACTCGCTCACTCGCCCACTCACCCATTCATTCGCCCACTCTCTCACCCGCTCACTCGCCCACTCTCTCACCCACTCACTCGCCCACTCACCCATCCATTCGCCCACTCCCTCACCCATTCACTCGCCCACTCCCTCACCCATTCACTCGCCCACTCTCTCACCCACTCACTCGCCCACTCTCTCACCCACTCATTCACCCACTCTCTCACCCATTCATTCGCCCACTCTCTCACCCATTCATTCGCCCACTCACCCATTCACTCGCCCACTCTCTCACCCACTCACTCGCCCACTCTCTCACCCACTCACTCGCCCACTCTCTCATCCATTCATTCGCCCACTCTCTCACCCATTCATTCACCCACTCACCCATTCATTTGCCCACTCTCTCACCCATTCATTCACCCACTCACCCATTCATTCGCCCACTCTCTCACCCACTCATTCGCCCACTCTCTCACCCGCTCACTCGCCCACTCTCTCACCCATTCATTCGCCCACTCTCTCACCCATTCATTCACCCACTCACCCATTCATTCGCCCACTCTCTCACCCACTCACTCGCCCACTCTCTCACCCGCTCACTCGCCCACTCTCTCATCCATTCATTCGCCCACTCACCCATTCATTCGCCCACTCTCTCACCCGCTCACTCGCCCACTCTCTCACCCATTCATTCGCCCACTCACCCATTCATTCGCCCACTCTCTCACCCGCTCACTCGCCCACTCTCTCACCCACTCACTCGCCCACTCTCTCACCCATTCATTCGCTCACTCTCTCACCCACTCATTCGCCCACTCTCTCACCCACTCACTCGCCCACTCTCTCACCCACTCACTCGCTCACTCTCTCACCCATTCATTCGCCCACTCTCTCACCCACTCATTCGCCCACTCTCTCACCCATTCATTCGCCCACTCTCTCACCCATTCATTCGCCCACTCACCCATTCATTCGCCCACTCTCTCACCCACTCACTCGCCCACTCTCTCACCCACTCACTCGCCCACCCACTCACCCACTCACTCGCCCACTCACTCACTCACCCACTCACCCACCCACTCTCTCACCCACTCGCCCACTCTCTCACCCACTCACTCGCCCACTCACCCAACCCCTGTGACCCCGCCTTTACGCCCCCATGACCCCGCCTCATGACCCCACCCCGTGACCCCCACCCCGTGACCCCCACCCCGTGACCCCCACCCCGTGACCCCCTCGCACAGGGAGCTGATAATGGGTGAGGAAGGCCGACCAATCAAACGCCTTCTCAAGAAATCTGCAAGCGGTGGTGGTGGTGATGGTGGTGGTGGTGGTGGTGTTGGTGGTGGTGGTGGTGATGCTGGTGGTGGTGGTGATGGTGGTGGTGGTGATGGTTGCGGTAGTGGTGGTGGTGGTGATGGTGGTGCTGGTGGTGGTGGTGGCGGTGGTGGTGGTGGTGGCGGTGGTGATGGCGTTGGTGTTGGTGGTGGTGGTGGTGTTGGTGGTGGTGATGCTGGTGGTGTTGGTGGTGGCGGTGTTGGTGGTGGTGATGGTGTTGGTGGTGGTGGTGGTGGTGGCGGTGGTGGTGTTGATGGTGGTGGTGGTGGTGTTGGTGGTGATGCTAGTGGTGATGGTGGTGCTGGTGTTGGTGGTGGTGGTGTTGGTGTTGTTGGTGGTGGTGTTGGTGGTGTTGGTGGTGTTGGTGGTGTTGGTGTTGGTGGTGGTGTTGGTGGTGTTGGTGGTGGTGGTGGTGTTGGTGTTGGTGGTGGTGTTGGTGGTGGTGTTGGTGGTGGTGGGCGGAGAGCTGAATTTGAGAGACCACCAGATGCTCCCACCACGGACGTGAGAACCTCAACTACAAAATACACCACTACACTACATTATACACTACACTACTATACACTATATACTACACTATACACTACACTACATTATACACTACACTACTATACACTATATACTACACTATACACTACATTATACACTACACTACATTATACACTACTATACAAAATACACTACACTACTATACTACTGTATACTACACTATACACTACACTATATACTAAACACTACACTCACTATACACTACACTACTATACACTACACTACACTATACACTACACTACAAAATACACCACTACACTATACACTACACTACTATACACTACACTATATACTAAACACTACACTACAAAATACACCACTACACTACATTATACACTACACTACATTATGCTAAATTATACAGTATATACTACACTACACTATACATTACACTATACACTACACTACATTATACATATACACTACACTACAAAATACACCACTACACTACATTATACACTACACTACATTATACACTACACTACTATACACTATATACTACACTACAGTACACTATATACTACACTACACTATACACTACACTACTATACACTACACTACATTATACACTACACTACATTATACTAAATTATACACTATATACTACACTACACTATACACTACAATACACTATACACTACACTATACACTACACTACATTATACACTACACTACATTATACACTACACTACTACACCACTACACTACATTATACTAAATTATACACTATATACTACACTACACTATACATTACACTATACACTACACACTACACTATACACTACATTATACACTACACTACATTATACACTACACTACATTATACTAAATTATACACTATATACTACACTACACTATACATTACACTATACACTACACTATATTATACATACACACTATACACTACACTACAAAATACACAACTACACTACATTATACACTACTACACTACACTATACTACTACCCCACTACATTATACACTACACTACATTATACACTACACTATACACTACACTACATTATACCACTACACCACTATGCACTATATACTACACCACTATATACTACACTATACACTACACTATTAACTATACACTACACTATACACTACTATACACTACACTACATTATACAATACACTTTACATTATACACTGCACTATATACTATACACTACACAATACACTACACTACACTATACACTACCTTATAAACTACACTACATTATACACCACTACACTACATTATACACTACACTACTACACTACATTATACACTACACTACTATACACTACATTATACACTACTATACACTACACTACATTATACACAACACTATATACTATACACTACACTACATTATACACTATACACTACACTATACACTACACTCTACTATACACTACACTACTATACACTACATTATACACTACACTATACACTACACTATACACTACACTACTATACACTATACTACACTACACTATATACTATACAATACACTACTATACACTATACACTACACTATACACTACACTATACACTACACTACATTATACACTACACTACTGCACCACTATATACTACACTACACTATACACTACACTATACACCACTAGACTACATTATACACTACACTACTATACACTACACTACATTATACACTACACTACTACACTATACACTACACTACTACACCACTACACTATACACTACACTATACACTACATTATACACTACATTATACACTACACTACACTATACACTACACTACTACACCACTACATTATACACTACACTACATTATACACTGCACTACTATACACTATATACTACACTACATTATACACTACACTACTATACACTATATTATACACTACACTATATACTATACACTACACTATACACTACACTATACACTACATTATACACTACATTATACACCACTACACTACATTTTACACTACACTATACTACTACACCACTACATTATACACTACACTACATTATACACCACTACACTACATTATACACTACACTACTACACTACATTATACACTACACTACTATACACTACACTACTACACTACATTATACACTACACTACTATACACTACATTATACACTACTATACACTACACTACATTATACACTACACTATATACTATACACTACACTACATTATACACTATACACTACACTATACACTACACTACTATACACTACATCATACACTACACTATACACTACACTACACACTACACTACATTATACACTACACTACTACACCACTATATACTACACTACACTATACACTACGCTATACACCAATACACTACATTATACACTACACTACTATACACTACACTACATTATACACTACACTACTACACTATACACTACACTACTACACCACTACACTATACACTACACTATACACTACATTATACACTACATTATACACTACACTACTACATTATACACTACACTATATTATACACTACACTACTATACACTGCATTATACACTACACTACTATACACTATATTATACACTACACTATATACTATACACTACACTATACACTACACTATACACTACACTATGATACACTACACTACATTATACACCACTACACTACACTATACACTTACACTACTACACCACTACATTATACACTACACTACTATACACTACATTATACACTACACTACATTATACACCACTACACTACATTACACTACACTACTACACCACTACATTATACACTACACTACATTATAGACCACTACACTACATTACACTACACTACTACACCACTACATTATACACTACACTACATTATAGACCACTACAATATACACTACACTACACTATACACTACACTACTATACACTATATACTACACTACACTATACACTACACTACTATACACTACACTACTATACACTATATACTACACTACACTATACACTACACTATACACCACTACACTACACTATACACTACACTATACACCACTACACTACATTATACACTACTAGACCACTACATTATATACTACACTACATTATAGACCACTACACTACACTATACACTACACTACACTATACACCACTACACTACACTATACATTACACTACTACACACTACATACTACACTACACTATATACTCTACACTACACTATACACTACACTATACAATACACTACTATACACTACACTACATTATACACCACAACACTACACTATACACTACACCACTACACTTTACACTACACTACATTATACACCACTACATTATACACTACATTATACACTACACTATACACCACTACACTACACTATACACTACACTACACTATACACCACTACACTACACTATACACTACACTATACACCACTACACTACACTATACACGACACTACTATACACTACATTATACACTACACTACATTTTACACCACTACACTACATTATACACTACACTATACACTACACTATACACTACAAAATACACCAATACACTATACTACACACTATACACTACATTATACACTACACTACATTATACACCACTACACTACAGTATACACTACAATACTGCACTACACTATACACTACACTACACTATACACTACTACACTATACACTACACTACACTACACGACTACACCACTAATCTATATACTATACACTACACTATACACTACACTACTACACTACACTATACACTACACTACTACACCACTACACCATGCACTATACACTACAATATACACTACACTACATTATACATCACTACACTACAGTATATACTACACTACTACACTACACTATACACTACACTATACACTGCACTACTACACTACACTATACACTACACTATACACTATACACTACACTATACTGCACTATATACTACACTACTACACCACTACACTATATACTATACACTACACTACACTATACACTACACTACTACACTACATTATACACTACACTACATTATACACCACTACACTATAGTATACACTACACTACTACACTACATTATACACTACATTACATTATACACTACTACACCACTACACTACATTATACACTACTACACTTCTACACTACACTATATACTACACTACTACACTACATTATACACTACTACACTACACTATACACTACTACACTACATTACACACTACACTACATTATACACCACTACACTACAGTATACACTACACTACTACACTACATTATACACTACACTATATTATACACCACTAAACTACAGTATACACTACACTACTACACTACATTATACACTACATTATACACTACTACACCACTACACTATATACTACACTACACTACATTATACACCACCACACTACAGTATACACTACACTACTACACTACATTATACACTACATTATATACCACTACACTACATTATACACTACACTACAGTATACACTACACTACATTATACACTACACTACTACACTATACAGTACACTACATTATACACTACTACACCACTACACTACACTATATGCTACACTACTACACTACACTACTATACACTACACTACATTATGCACTACACTATACACTACACTACTATACACTACACTATACACTATACTACTATACACTACATTATACACTATGCTACAATATACACTACACTACTACACTATACACTACACTACTATACACTACACTATACACTACATGGGCCCGCCCACCCTCCTTTCCCACCCCACCCACCGTATCCACCCACCCCACCCACAGTACCCACCCACCCACAGCACCCACCCACAGTACCCACCCACAGCACCCACCCACAGTACCCACCCACAGTACCCACCCACAGCACCCACCCACCCACAGTACCCACCCACAGCACCCACAGCACCCACCCACCCACAGTACCCACCCACCCACAGTACCCACCCACAGTACCCACCCACAGTACCCACCCACAGTACCCACCCACCCACAGCACCCACCCACCCACAGCACCCACCCACCCACAGTACCCACCCACAGTACCCACCCACAGTACCCCACCCACCCACAGTACCCACCCACAGTACCCACCCACCCACAGTATCCACCCACAGTACCCACCCACCCACAGTACCCACCCACCCACAGCACCCACCCACAGTACCCACCCACCCACAGTACCCACCCACAGCACCCACCCACAGTAGCCACCCACCCACAGTAGCCACCCACAGTACCCACCCACAGTACCCACCCACAGTACCCACCCACCCACCCACAGTACCCACCCACAGTACCCACCCACAGTACCCACCCACAGTACCCACCCACCCACAGTACCCACCCACAGCACCCACAGTACCCACCCACAGTACCCACCCACAGTACCCACCCACAGCACCCACCCACCCACAGTACCCACCCACAGTACCCACCCACAGTACCCACCCACAGCACCCACCCACAGCACCCACCCACAGTACCCACCCACCCACAGTACCACCCACAGTACCCACCCACCCACAGTACCCACCCACAGCACCCACCCACAGTACCCACCCACCCACAGTACCACCCACAGTACCCACCCACCCACAGCACCCACCCACCCACAGTACCCACCCACCCACAGTACCCACCCACAGTACCCACCCACAGTACCCACCCACAGTACCCACCCACCCACAGTACCCACCCACAGTACCCACCCACCCACAGCACCCACCCACCCACAGTACCCACCCACCCACAGTACCCACCCACAGCACCCACAGTACCCACCCACAGTACCCACCCACAGTACCCACCCACAGCACCCACCCACCCACAGCACCACCCACAGCACCCACCCACATTACCCACCCACAGTACCCACCCACAGTACCCACCCACCCACAAGTACCACCCACAGTACCCACCCACAGTACCCACCCACAGTACCCACCACCCACAGTACCCACCCACAGCACCCACCCACAGCACCCACCCACCCACAGCACCCACCCACAGTACCCACCCACCCCACCCACAGTATCCACCCACAGTACCCACCCACCCACAGTACCCACCCACCCACAGCACCCACCCACAGTACCCACCCACCCACAGTACCCACCCACAGCACCCACCCACAGTAGCCACCCACCCACAGTAGCCACCCACAGTACCCACCCACAGTACCCACCCACAGTACCCACCCACCCACCCACAGTACCACCACCCACAGTACCCACCCACAGCACCCACCCACAGTAGCCACCCACCCACAGTAGCCACCCACAGTACCCACCCACAGTACCCACCCACAGTACCCACCCACCCACCCACAGTACCCACCCACAGTACCCACCCACAGTACCCACCCACAGTACCCACCCACCCACAGTACCCACCCACAGCACCCACCCACAGCACCCACCCACAGTACCCACCCACAGTACCCACCCACCCACAGTACCCACCCACAGCACCCACCCACAGTACCCACCCACCCACAGTACCCACCCACAGCACCCACCCACAGCACCCACCCACAGTACCCACCCACAGTACCCACCCACCCACAGTACCCACCCACAGCACCCACCCACCCACAGTACCCACCCACAGTACCCACCCACAGTACCCACCCACCCACAGTACCCACCCACAGTACCCACCCACCCACAGCACCCACCCACCCACAGTACCCACCCACCCACAGTACCCACCCACAGCACCACAGTACCCACCCACAGTACCCACCCACAGTACCCACCCACAGCACCCACCCACCCACAGCACCCACCCACAGCACCCACCCACAGTACCCACCCACAGTACCCACCCACAGTACCCACCCACAGTACCCACCCACCCACAGTACCCACCCCACAGTACCCACCCACCACAGTACCCACCCACAGCACCCACCCACAGCACCCACCCACCCACAGCACCCACCCACAGTACCCACCCACCCACCCACAGTACCACCCACCACAGCACCCACCCACAGTACCCACCAACAGTACCCACCCACCCACAGTACCCACCCACAGCACCCACCCACCCACCCACAGCACCCACCCACCCACAGTACCCACCCACAGTACCCACCCACAGTACCCACCCACAGCAACCACCCACAGCACCACACCCACAGTACCCACCCACAGCACCCACCCACAGCACCCACAGTACCCACCCACAGTACCCACCCACAGTACCCACCCACAGCACCCACCCACAGTACCACACCCACAGCACCCACCCACAGTACCCACCCACCCACAGTACCCACCCACAGTACCCACCCACAGTACCCACCCACAGCACCCACCCACAGCACCCACCCACCCCACAGCACCCACCCACAGTACCCACCCACCCACCCACCCACAGTACCCACCCACCCACAGCACCCACCCACAGTACCCACCCACAGTACCCACCCACCCACAGTACCCACCCACAGCACCCACCCACCCACCCACAGCACCCACCCACCCACAGTACCCACCCACAGTACCCACCCACAGTACCCACCCACAGCACCCACCCACAGCACCCACCCACAGTACCCACCCACAGCACCCACCCACAGCACCCACAGTACCCACCCACAGTACCCACCCACAGTACCCACCCACAGCACCCACCCACAGTACCCACCCACAGCACCCACCCACAGTACCCACCCACCCACAGTACCCACCCACAGTACCCACCCACAGTACCCACCCACAGCACCCACCCACAGTACCCACCCACCCACAGCACCCACCCACAGTACCCACCCACAGTACCCACCCACAGTACCCACCCACCCACAGTACCCACCCACAGTACCCACCCACAGTACCCACCCACCCACAGTACCCACCCACAGTACCCACCCACAGTACCCACCCACCCACCCACAGTACCCACCCACCCACAGCACCCACCCACAGTACCCACCCACCCACAGTACCCACCCACAGTACCCACCCACCCACAGTACCCACCCACCCACAGTACCCACCCACCCACCCCCTGTCACCCACCGACTCTCCCCGCGTAGCCCACGGTAAAGTACGACGAGCAGCCCCTCTAGGTGACGTCTACAGTACCCACCCACAGTACCCACCCACAGTACCCACCCACCCACCCACAGTACCCACCCACCCACCCACAGTACCCACCCACCCACAGTACCCACCCACCCACCCCCTGTCACCCACCGACTCTCCCCGCGTAGCCCACGGTAAAGTACGACGAGCAGCCCCTCTAGGTGACGTCTACAGTACCCACCCACAGTACCCACCCACAGTACCCACCCACAGTACCCACCCACCCACAGTACCCACCCACAGTACCCACCCACAGTACCCACCCACCCACAGTACCCACCCACAGCACCCACAGTACCCACCCACCCACAGTACCCACCCACCCACCCACAGTACCCACCCACCCACCCCCTGTCACCCACCGACTCTCCCCGCGTAGCCCACGGTAAAGTACGACGAGCAACCGCTCTGGGTGACGTCTACCGGCGGATTGCTACACCCCTACCAGCTGGAGGGCCTCAACTGGCTGAGATTCTCCTGGGCGCAGGGCACGGACACCATCCTGGCCGACGAGATGGGATTGGGCAAAACGGTGCAGACTATCGTGTTCCTGTACTCACTCTACAAGGAGGTGGGTGGCTGGGTGGGTGGGTGGGTGAGTGGGTTGGTGGGTGGGTGAGTGGGTAGGTGGGTGGGTGGGTGAGTGGGTGGGTTGGTGAGTGGGTGGGTAGGTTGGTGGGTGGGTAGGTGAGTGGGTGGGTAGGTGGGTGGGTAGGTGAGTGGGTGGTTATGTGGGTAGGTGGGTGGGTGGGTAGGTGAGTGGGTGGGTGAGTGGGTGGGTGAGTGGGTGAGTGAGTGGGTAGGTGGGTAGGTTGGTGAGTGGGTGGGTGGGTGAGTGGGTGGGTAGGTGAGTGGATGGGTGGGTAGGTTGGTGAGTGAGTGGGTGTGTGAGTGGGTGGGTGGGTAGGTGAGTGGGTGGGTAGGTTGGTGAGTGGGTGGGTGGGTGAGTGGGTGGGTGAGTGGGTGGGTATGTGGTTGGGTGGGTGAGTGGGTGGGTGAGTGGGTGAGTGGGTGGGTAGGTGGGTGGCTGGGTGGGTGAGTGGGTGAGTGGGTAGGTGAGTGGGTGGGTGAGTGGTTGGGTGAGTGGGTGGGTAGGTGGGTGGGTGGGTAGGTGAGTGGGTGGGTGGGTGTGTAGGTGAGTGGGTGGGTGAGTGGGTAGGTGGGTGGGTGGGTGGGTAGGTAGGTGAGTGGGTGGGTAGGTGGGTAGGTGAGTAGGTGGGTGAGTGGTTGGGTGAGTGGGTAGGTGAGTGGGTGGGTAGGTGAGTGGGTGGGTAGGTGAGTGGGTGGGTAGGTGAGTGGGTGAGTGGATGGGTAGGTGAGTGGGTGGCTGGGTGGGTACGTGAGTGGGTGGGTGAGTGAGTGGGTGGGTGAGTGGGTGGGTGGTGATGGTGGTATTTGTGGCGGATACCATGGTTGTTGTGGTTGTTGTGGTGGTTGTGTTGATGGTTGTTGTGGAGGTGGTGGTGGTTGTTGTGGTTGTTGTGGTGGTTGTGGTGATGGTGGTTGTTGTGGTGATGGTGGTTGTTGTGGTTGTTGTGGTGGTTGTGGTGATGGTTGTTGTTGTGGTGATGGTGGTTGTTGTGGTTGTTGTTGTGGTTGTGGTGATGGTTGTTGTTGTTGTTGTGATGGTTGTGATGGTGATTGTTGTTGTGATGGTTGTGATGGTGGTTGTTGTGGTGGTTGTGATAGTGGTTGTGGTGGTGATGGTGGTTGTTGTTGTGGTGGTTGTGGTGATGGTGGTTATTGTGATGGTTGTTGTTGTGATGGTTGTTGTTGTTGTTGTTGTGATGGTTGTGATGGTGGTTGTTGTGATGATGGTGGTTGTTGTTTGTTGTGGTTGCTGTGACCGTGCCCCCCCCAGGGCCACTCCAAGGGGCCCTTCCTCGTCAGCGCCCCCCTCTCCACCATCATCAACTGGGAGCGTGAGTTTGAGGCCTGGGCCCCAGGCTTCTATGTCGTCACTTACACGGGCGACCGCCACAGCCGCGGGGTCGTGCGGCAACATGACTTCTCCTTCGACGGCGGTGTCGGACGCGCCGGCAAGAAGCCCTTCCGCATCAAGGTGGCTCGCTCGCTCGCTCGGTGGCTCACTCAGTGGCTCAGCGACTCGCTCGGTGGCTCGCTCAGTGACTCGCTCGCTCGCTCGGTGGCTCGGCGACTCGCTCGGTGGCTCGCTCAGTGACTCGCTCGGTGACTCGCTCGCTCGGTGGCTCGCTCAGTGACTCGCTCGCTCGGTGGCTCGCTCAGTGACTCGCTCGCTCGGTGGCTCGCTCAGTGACTCGCTCGCTCGCTCGGTGACTCGCTCAGTGACTCGCTCGGTCGCTCGGTGGCTCACTCAGTGACTCGCTCACTCGCTCGGTGGCTCGCTCAGTGACTCGCTCGGTCGCTCGCTCGGTGGGCGACTCGCTCGGTCGCTCGTTGGATCGGTGGCTCGCTCAGTCGCTCGGTGGCTCAGTGGCTCGCTCGCTCGCTCGCTCGTTGGGCGGCTCGCTCGCTCGCTCGGTGGGCGACTCGCTCGGTCGCTCGTTGGATCGGTGGCTCGCTCAGTCGCTCGGTGGCTCAGTGGCTCGCTCGCTCGCTCGTTGGGCGACTCGCTCGGTCGCTCGGTGGGCGACTTGCTCGGTCGCTCGCTCGGTGGGCGACTCGCTCGCTCGCCCGTTGGATCGGTGGCTCGGTCGGTCTCTCGGTGGCTCAGTCGGTCAGTGGCTCGCTGGCTCGCTCGGTGGTTTGCTCGCTCGCTCGCTCGGTGGCTCGGAGGCTCGGTGGGCGACTCGCTCGGTCGCTCGCTTGGTCGCTCGGTGGTCGACTCGCTCGCTCGCTCGGTCACTCGTTGGATCGGTGGCTCGGTCGCTTGGTGGTTCGTTTGGTCTCTTGGTTGGTGGCTCGGTAGTTCGGTGGCTCGGTCGGTGGCTCAGTGGCTCGGTGGGTCGCTTGGTGGATTGGTTGGTCACTCGGTGGTTCGGTGGCTCGGTGGCTCAGTCAGTCAGTGGCTCAGTCGGTCCCTCGGTGGCTCAGTCGGTCAGTGGCTCGGTGGCTCGGTCAGTCAGTGGCTCGCTGGCATAGTCGGTCAGTGGCTCGGTGGCTCGGTCAGTCAGTGGCTCGCTGGCTTAGTCGGTCAGTGGCTCGGTGGCTCGGTCAGTCAGTGGCTCGCTGGCATAGTCGGTCAGTGGCTCGGTGGCTCGGTCAGTCAGTGGCTCGCTGGCTTAGTCGGTCAGTGGCTCGGTGGCTCGGTCAGTCAGTGGCTCGCTGGCATAGTCGGTCAGTGGCTCGGTGGCTCGGTCAGTCAGTGGCTCGCTGGCTTAGTCGGTCAGTGGCTCGGTGGCTCGGTCAGTCAGTGGCTCGCTGGCTTAGTCGGTCAGTGGCTCGGTGGCTCGGTCAGTCAGTGGCTCGCTGGCTTAGTCGGTCAGTGGCTTGGTGGCTCGGTCAGTCAGTGGCTCGCTGGCTCAGTCAGTCAGTGGCTTGCTGGCTCGGTCGGTCAGTGGCTTGGTCGGTCTCTCGCTGGCTCAGTCAGTCAGTGGCTCGGTGGCTCTGTCAGTCTGCCCACAGAAGGCCACACCCCCTGACGCGTTGTGGCCAATCAGCTGCTGGATGGAGGGCCCACCCATCCCACCCACCCCCCCTCCCCCACCCCCCCCCTCCCCCCCCTCCCCCCCCCAGGGCGGCCCCCCACGCCGTTCGCCATCTCGCGAGCACAGCAAATATTGTGGTGGTCACCGGTCCACTCACACTGCAGGCTGACTCACCTGTCATCACCTCCCGTGGTCACCGGTCCACTCACACTGCAGGCTGACTCCCCCTGTCACTAATTCCCGTGTCCACCAGTCCACTCACACTGCAGGCTGACTCCCCCTGTCATCACCTCCCGTGGTCACCGGTCCACTCACACTGCAGGCTGACTCCCCCTGTCACTAATTCCCGTGTCCACCAGTCCACTCACACTGTTGGCTGACTCCCCTTGTCATCACCTCCCGTGGCCACCAGTCCACTCACACTGCAGGCTGAGGCCACCAGTCCACTCACACTGTTGGCTGACTCCCCCTGTCATCACCTCCCGTGGTCACCAGTCCACTCACACTGCAGGCTGACTCCCCTGTCATCACCTCCCGTGGTCACCAGTCCACTCACACTGCAGGCTGACTCCCCTGTCATTACCTCCCGTGGCCACCAGTCCACTCACACGGCAGGCTGACTCCCCTGTTACTACCTCCCGTGGTCACCAGTCCACTCACACTGCAGGCTGACTCCCCTGTCATTACCTCCCGTGGCAACCAGTCCACTCACACTGCAGGCTGACTCACCTGTCATTACCTCCAGAGGCCACCAGTCCACTCACACCGCAGGCTGACTCACCTGTCACGACCTCCCGTGGCCACCAGTCCACTCACACTCACAGCTGACTCCCCCTGTCACTAATTCCCGTGGCCACCAGTCCACTCACACTGTAGGCTGACTCGCCCTGTCATCACCTCCCGTGGCCACCAGTCCATTCACACTGCAGGCTGACTCACCTGTCATCACCTCCAGTGGCCACCAGTCCACTCACACTGCAGACTGACTCACCTGTCATTACCTCCAGAGGCCACCAGTCCACTCACACCGCAGGCTGACTCCCCTGTCATTACCTCCCGTGGCCACCAGTCCACTCAGACTGTAGGCTGACTCGCCCTGTCATTACTTCCCATGGTCACCGGTCCACTCACACTGCAGGCTGACTCTCCTGTCATCACCTCCCGTGGCCACCAGTCCACTCACACTGCAGGCTGACTCACCTGTCATCACCTCCCGTGGCCACCAGTCCACTCACACTGCAGGCTGACTCTCCTGTCATCACCTCCCGTGGTCACCAGTCCACTCACACTGCAGACTGACTCTCCCGTCATCACCTCCCGTGGCCACCAGTCCACTCACACTGCAGGCTGACTCCCCTGTCATCACCTCCCGTGGCCACCAGTCCACTCACACTGCAGACTGACTCCTCTGTCATCACCTCCCGTGGCCACTAGTCCACTCACACTGCAGGCTGACTCCCCCTGTCACTACCTCCCATGGTCACCAGTCCACTCACACTGCAGGCTGACTCACCTGTCATCACCTCCCGTGGTCACCAGTCCACTCACACTCACAGCTGACTCCCCCTGTCACTACCTCCCGTGGTCACCGGTCCACTCACACTGCAGGCTGAGGCCACCAGTCCACTCACACTGCAGGCTGACTCCCCTGTCACTACCTCCCGTGGGCCACCAGTCCACTCACACTGCAGGCTGACTCACCCTGTCACTACCTCCCGTGGCCACCAGTCCACTCACACTGCAGGCTGACTCACCTGTCATTACCTCCAGTGGCCACCAGTCCACTCACACTGTTGGCTGACTCACCCTGTCACTACCTCCCGTGGCCACCAGTCCACTCACACTTCAGGCTGAGGCCACCAGTCCACTCACACTGCAGGCTGACTCCTCTGTCATCACCTCCCGTGGCCACCAGTCCACTCACACTGCAGGCTGACTCCTCTGTCATCACCTCCCGTGGCCACCAGTCCACTCACACTGCAGGCTGAGGCCACCAGTCCACTCACACTGCCGGCTGACTCGCCCTGTCACTACCTCTCGTGGCCACCAGTCCACTCACACCGCCAGCTGACTCCCCCTGTCATCACCTCCCGTGGCCACCAGTCCACTCACACTGCAGGCTGACTCCGCTGTCACTACCTCCAGTGGTCACCAGTCCACTCACACTGCAGGCTGACTCACCTGTCATCACCTCCCGTGGTCACCAGTCCACTCACACTCACAGCTGACTCCCCTGTCATTACCTCCCATGGCCACCAGTCCACTCACACTGTAGGCTGACTCCCCTGTCATCACCTCTTGTGGTCACCAGTCCACTCACACTGCAGGCTGACTCCCCTGTCATTACCTCCCGTGGCCACCAGTCCACTCACACTCACAGCTGACTCCCCTGTCATCACCTCCCGTGGTCACCAGTCCACTCACACTGCAGGCTGACTCGCCTGTCATTACCTCCCGTGGCCACCAGTCCACTCACACTGCAGGCTGACTCCTCTGTCATCACCTCCCGTGGTCACCAGTCCACTCACACTGCAGGCTGACTCCCCCTGTCATCACCTCCCGTGGCCACAAGTCCACTCACACTGCAGGCTGACTCCTCTGTCATCACCTCCCGTGGTCACCAGTCCACTCACACTGCAGGCTGACTCCCCCTGTCATCACCTCCCGTGGCCACCAGTCCACTCACACTGCAGGCTGACTCCCCCTGTCATCACCTCCCGTGGCCACCAGTCCACTCACACCGCCGGCTGACTCCCCCTGTCGCTCGGTGGCTCGTTCGGTGGCTGGGTCATTTGGTTGTTGGCTCGGTGGGTCATTGCGTTGGTAGTAACGCTGTGTTGTCGCCCCCAGGTCGGATATCTCACCACCCTTTGCCACCCCCCTGCATGATATCCCACGTGAGGTAAGCCGTGACAGCGATGATGGCTAAGCGTCTACGTCCCTTGGTTTTCGAATTGCCTCCGAACACAATTGAGTTCATGAATGTTAAAAAAGCATTCTGCTGAAGGAAGGGTGGCTCGGTGGCTCGGTGGCTCGGTGGCTCGGTGGCTCGGTGGCTCGGTGGCTCGGTGGCTCGGTGGCTCGGTCGGTGGCTCGGTGGCTCGGTGGCTCAGTCGGTGGCTCAGTCGGTGGCTCGGTGGCTCAGTCGGTGGCTCGGTGGCTCAGTGGCTCGGTGGCTCGGTCGGTGGCTCGGTGGCTCGGTGGCTCAGTCGGTGGCTCAGTCGGTGGCTCGGTGGCTCAGTCGGTGGCTCGGTGGCTCGGTGGCTCGGTCGGTGGCTCGGTGGCTCGGTGGCTCAGTCGGTGGCTCAGTGGCTCGGTGGCTCGGTGGCTCGGTGGCTCGGTGGCTCAGTCGGTGGCTCGGTGGCTCGGTGGCTCGGTGGCTCAGTCGGTGGCTCGGTGGCTCGGTGGCTCGGTGGCTCAGTCGGTGGCTCGGTGGCTCGGTGGCTCGGTGGCTCAGTCGGTGGCTCGGTGGCTCAGTCGGTGGCTCGGTGGCTCGGTGGCTCGGTCGGTGGCTCGGTGGCTCGGTGGCTCAGTCGGTGGCTCAGTGGCTCGGTGGCTCGGTGGCTCGGTGGCTCGGTGGCTCAGTCGGTGGCTCGGTGGCTCGGTGGCTCGGTGGCTCAGTCGGTGGCTCGGTGGCTCGGTGGCTCGGTCGGTGGCTCGGTGGCTCAGTGGCTCGGTGGCTCAGTCGGTGGCTCGGTGGCTCGGTGGCTCGGTGGCTCAGTCGGTGGCTCGGTGGCTCGGTGGCTCGGTGGCTCAGTCGGTGGCTCGGTGGCTCAGTCGGTGGCTCGGTGGCTCGGTGGCTCAGTCGGTGGCTCAGTGACTCGGTGGCTCGGTGGCTCAGTCGGTGGCTTGGTGGCTCAGTCGGTTAATCGGTGGCTCAGTCAGTCAGTCGTTGGCCTGGTTGGTCACTCGGTGACTCGGGGAGTGACTCGGTGAGTGACTCGGTGAGTGACTCGGTGAGT